GGAATTCTGGGAGTTGAAGTCCGCCAGGCTTCAAGGGGCCAAGGTTGGACAGCCCTGGTTTAGGGCTTCTCCGTGCGATGCCGCGGACGTTCCCTTGCAAGCGAGGAGGTCGTTTGTCCAGGGTTACCGGGTCCCGGGTAAACGGAAACAAATCGGTGGCGCTCTCCAGATCCCAAAGCGGGAGGCTGAATAGTTGGGGAGGGACAACTCACAGCAGGACAAGAGTTACTCTTAATACCAAAGAGATGGTGGAACACAATCATCCAAGAAAGCACGCAAAAGGAGGGACAGAATGAAATGGGAATGGCAAAAATTAAAATAATTTTTATTTATTTTAAATAATAATTAAATAGAATTGATAGTCTGCCAACGAGTTGCCTCTCGGTGAGTTGGCCGTGGTGACTTGTCCTGCGCCAAGGTGCCCATGGCGAGTTGGCGGTGGTGAGTTGGCTGTATAGCAAGTTGTCCCATTCGCTCAGGGAGGACGAGAGAGCTTTGCATTTTCACTATATAGTTTATTCCACTTAAAAGAAAAACGCTCATATTCAGGTTTAGACTTCTTTCCTCTCCTTCGATTCCGGGCAGCTGCTTTCCTGACTTGCTTACTTGCTGGCTGGTTTACCTGGGACAAATTGCATTGTGCAGTGTTGGATTACAGTCTTCTCCTCTCTCGAAATTGTGTGTGTGAGAGAGAGGAGTTGGCAGGGAAACCTGGTTGTCGATGCTGTAATAAAGACAAATGGACAATGTAGAGTTATACAAGAGGTACAGGTAGCTCTCAACTCACAGCAGTTCATTTATGACTATTTGAAGTTACAACGGGATTGAAAAAAGTGACTTACGACCGATTGTCACACTGATGACCGTTTACAGCATCCCCATGGTTATGTGATCAAAATTTGGATATCTTGACCACCGGCTCCTATTATTTATACCGGTTGCAGTGTCCCGGGGTTACGTGATCACCTTTTGCAACTTTCTGACAAGCAAAGTCAATGGGGAAGCCAGATTCACTTAACAACTCTGTTATTAATTTAACAACTGCAATGATTCACTTAGCAAATGTGGCAAGAAAAGTCATAAACTGGGGCAAAACTCATTTAAATTTCTCACTGAGCAACATAAATACTGAGCTCAATTGTGGTTGTAAGTCAAGGACTACCTGTACTCTTGTTAAGTTCACGCAGTGTAAGACTTGAAATTCATCCTTGCACAATACATAAATCTACAAGCTGAGTATCCTATATGCATGTTCATCTAGTCTCAGCTTCTCTAGTGAAGGAAAATCCTGTACCTCCTCAGACAGTCTGTTCCATCATTGCCCATGTCTTACTTGCCCCAATGACCCAATATTCAATGCCCCGATGAATTTTAATACTCTGTCATTTTAAACTCATTGTTTCTTGTTCTGTCTCCTGAAGTGGTATTTACCAAGTCTGCCCTGACTTTTACACAGTAGCCCTGCAGGTTCTTGAAAACAGCTAGCACATCATCCCAGAGTCTTTTCCAGGCCAACACCTCCAGCTATTTTTCCTTTCGGGTCACTTATCACCTTAGTCTCTGTCCTCTGGATAATTTCAAATTTATCAGTGTGCTTTCCAAAATGGAGCACAAAGCAGAGAGAAATCCTAACCTCTCTTGACCTTTCCCAATACTTTGATTAATGCAGCCTAGGATGACTTTTGCTTTTATTTTTTGGCAGCTGCAACATACTATCATATTATTGTGCTCAGTTGTCCAATTTTGAGGTTGCCTGATTCCTTAATGACTCTGGCCAGCTTACATATAAAAAGGAAAATCAATAACCTAAATGTCATAAGGACAAAAGCTGCATGAATCTCCTGGGGGGCAGGGGAGGTATTGCCAAACTTATCTGTTCTGAAAATAATTCAAAACAACATTTTAAAAATGATTTATTCAATCCTGATTGGAGTATGTGATAAGGGTGGGATTAAGTGATATATGGTCAATTCTTTTAGGACCCTTTGTTTAGCAGGCAATTTTGTTGGGGAAGGAAGAGTGCTGTGTAAACTATTTAAAGTAAAGCTGACAATAAAAGGACATAAACGGTGTGAATGAACTAAATCTGTGGGTTGCTTACAAAGTTACATGAACCAATTAGGTTAATATAACAGGTATTACTTTGCATGTACCCTCCAGAACAGATTCAGGATATGTGTGAAGAAAAAAATCATTGCTTTGGGGCCTATATTGTTCCCTCAGAAGACCAATATCTTTGAATGTAGCCCATTATATAATAAAGGTACAAAAACAGCCATTTTACATGGGATCCGCTTATCCATAGAACTTGAGATGACAATTCTGAAGACACCTGAATGTATTTGAATAAAAATGACAGGAAAAATAAGTCAATTATTTAAAATGAATGGCCCATGGTTTTTTTTATTTATTGATATACTCACAATGTCAACTTCTTGGGTTCATTAGTTCATTAGCCTTGACACAGAAATGTACAAAGAAATGAGTCACGATGGTGCAGCGGTTAGAGTGCAGTATTACAGGCTACTTCTGCTGACGGCAGTTCAAATCTCACCAGGCTCAAGGTTAACTCAGCCTTCCATCCTTCTGAGGTCAGTAAAATGAGGACCCAGATTATTGGGGGCAATATGCTGACTCTAAGCTGCTTAGAGAGGGCTGTAAAGTCTAAGTGCTATTGCTATTGCTACATATACATATATGCGTATGTACATACCAGTATGTATGCATGATTGGTAGAAGAAACATTATATATATTATATAATGTTTATATAATTATATACATTATATATATATTCATTCATTCATTCATTCATTCATTAAGGCATTTAGTTAGGGATCCAGTAAAAAGTGAGCAACTCCAGATGTACATATGACCATCTATCTCTAATTATTGAAAGTGGCAGCACAGTTGCCACCTTTTTGAGATGGAAAACTCTTCAAATATTAATATAAAACCTCAAGCAAGCACAACAAAATTATACATAATACATAGTGTGTGGATTATTTTTGTACTGCTAATATTTTGTCCTTTAGTGAAAATTTATATTTTTAAAATTTTATCTTGTAGAGGAGAAAAAAAAGTTAATGCGAGAGTTTGATGAAAAACTAAAAGAGGCAAATGAAACGGTAAGAATGTGAGCTATTCTTTAAGAAGCTTTAGAACCCTAGTGTATATGAAACTAATCCACAGTGATTTAAACAGGGTGGACCTTAATAAAGTGCTTAATATTGATTGAAATCATTGTTTCTCGACCTTTGCAATTTTAAGGTGTATGAACTTCAACTCCCAAAATTCCCCAACTAGCATGGGGACTTCAATTTGTGTTTCCAAGACTGACAAACACTTGATTGAAATAATTCATTTTTAAAACATTTCCTTTTCTTTTCTCTTTTTCCCATTTAATGATTTGTCCAGACAAGCCAAAGCCAGTATTTGCAGTACCCATTTCAACAAATTAATCTGTTTTCTGTTAAAAAAATGTTTTAAACGCATACTACATATTTTTGCTGAATTACGCTTAAAGATAATGATTTTATCTTTAAAACACTACAAAGATTACAGACGATAGTATTATATTGTATTTGTTTACAATGAAGATTGCTATGGAGCAAGGTGAAATATTCTTTTGAGTCTGGTCTTTGTTTTTGTTATCAGAGTGATAACAAAACTATGTTCAGCTATGCACACTTCAAAGAAGTTAATTTTTTTCAAAAAAATAATATTGCTTTCACATAGCAAAAAGAGGATAGGAAACTGTTTGAAATCTAGCCTTTTGCCTGATGTATTTGGTGGTTTAGTTCCATATGTTTAGTAAACAACTATATTTTTATAACCTTTTCTGAAGCATATTTTCTTCACTGCTTTGTATAAGTAACATGGAAATACTTAAAAGTTTTCTCCATTTTTGGCTTTTATTGTCATTGCATGAAGTGTATTTAAATTGGCAGAATGCTTTTTCTAAATAAGCTCAGTTTTAGTCAGCCAAAGAATAACTTTCCTAAAATAAAAACATGAGATACATATTTTTGAAATAAAGAAGTGAATTATAGATTGCATATATATAGAATATAGTTTGCATTTTATATTTTAGTGAAGTATGATTCATAAGAAATTTGAGCAGGTTTTTTATTTAGGTCTCTGATGTGATGTTTCTGGTAAATTTATCATTTTCAGTCTTGATTTTCATGTTTCAAATACAAGTGTAACAAGGATTTTGATACATGTTTACTTTTGAAACTTATTCTAGTTAAGGGAAATGGAAGAAGAACTGAAATATGCCCCAGTGTCCTTCCGCAATCAAATGATGATTAAAATTAGAACTTACAAAGGAGACCTTAGCACATTTCATAGGAAAATGAAAAGTACGGACTTGGGAGTAGCTCCAAGTGCACGTGGGAATTCAAAGTTTGGTATCTTTTCTACGGAAAATGAGCAGAGAGTAAGTACTAAGTATACAATTATTTTAAAGGTTGTTCCAATGTCACCATCCTTCGGGTTCTTATTCAGGAAGGGGAGCAAATGAAAGATGCATTCTAGATAATCATTAGCAGCACCAAACAAGAGTATAGCATTGCAGTTTTTATACCGGTGCCTGAGCTAAAGTGAAGACTTAAGATTTGTAGAGAAGAGACAAATTGACTTATGGAACAATTAGAAAATACAAAAGTATTAAAACAGTTAATACAAAAGCATATAGATTTGAAACCAGAAATATTCTTATTGGGCATCCTGCCGGAAAAGGATGATAAAAGGAATATATATTTGATTTTACATGCATTAACTGCCACTAGGATTGTATTTGCACGACAATGAGAAAGTGATAAGATCCCGACATGAGAATGTAATCAAAAATATTAGAATGTACAGAAATGGACAGATTAATGCTTATAATTAAGGAAAAAGAAACTGAATATTTATTGATAGGGGATTCATTTTATCAATGGTTAAATAATAAAAACAGAAGTTAGAAATATGGGGATATAAAAAGGACAAATGTTATAAAGGAGATTTGTTAAAGTAGATAAGTTAAATATTATTGTTATTATAGTATTATGATGATGATGAATACCATTGTAAACATCTTGATTATGATTGTTTAAAAATAATTGCACCCGGACAGCACACTGTTTGATTAAAATTGAGTTTTTACATGTTATATAAATAAAACAAATAAAACATGAGAAAGAAAGAAACCATGCCCCCTCCGGTCTGCGGAAAAACTTCACGGAATCAGTCCCTGGTGCCCAAAAGGTTGGGGGCCATTGCCTCAGAAAATAGCTGAATGAACATTGAAAGAGAATGAAACTAATTGTAAATACTCCCAACAAAATGTTGATAGCATTTGCTTGAATCAATTGGGGGGAAGGGGTGGAATAATCTGTATGCATAGTTTCTGCTGTATTATAAGGGACATTTTTTGATTGCAGAATCAAACTAAAAACCTAGGTGTCATAAGGACAGGGATATGGGATCATCTCGGTGTCTTTGCCAACATTTTCTCAAAAGAATAGACTGTTTCTCTCATCATTAGGAAATTTCTCTTATTCTCCTATTACATTGCTAGCATGACTTAAATCTCCACTCTCAGGGAAGAACATACTGAAAGGTAAAATATCCCTTCTGCCTTTTTAAATAGGTCTTTATTGTCTCTTAGACTCAGGTGCAGTCTCAGAGGGTGTTACTGCTTCAGGGAACAGAAAGCTTGAATCGAGCCACTCAGAGCTTGGATCGGACACACCAAATTGCCGCAGAAACTGATCAAATTGGTAGTGATATCATTGAAGAACTAGGTGGGCAGCGTGAGCAGCTGGAACGCACCAAAGGCAGAGTAAGTTTTCAAAATGCCACTGGCATAGTACAGTCTGTTGTTTTTTTTCCTATCAACAAATAGGTTTCTCTAACTATGGAAAAAATAAATATTTCCACACTCCCAGCAATTCTCTCTTCCCGTATCACTTTTCTATGAAGCTTTGCTCTTTCATGATGGAGATAATGCTGAGAGGAAACTATAATGAAATAGCAATCTTTAGCTTATACAGCTATGTAATGTAACAATATAGTTAACAAAGTACTTTTTTTTTGGTTCTGGCAATAAAACAGGTCTACTTTTTCTAAACTTCCTGGAATCAAATACTGTTTTCTTGAGACTGGATTTGATCTTCCTTAGATATGTGTTTTAATTTATTTTAAAAATAACACTTATCTTTTAATATACTGCTGAAATCTCAGAAACTAGATAGATAAATACATAGTCAATGTCCAGTGATGAAATTTACTCTTGGTCTCTGCTCTGACACAGATGGAATCTTAACCAGCCCTCAAATGCTGCTTCTTGTTTATCTGATATCTTCTTGTTTATCTGATATCAGTATTTTTCTCCCTCAGGAAAAGACCAAGATTTTACCTTGGATAGTGTGTTATTTGGACTTGTTATCAGAAACATAATTCAGTCTAAAAATACAGAAAAAATACAGAAATACATAAGTTGGGGTGCATCATACTTCTTTTAATTATTATTGCAGAATGTTATGGTCAGGAGTTGAGCTGACACGGTGTGTTCCAATTGTTATCTTATTTAAATATCTTTCTCTAAATTTGGCTCGATCTCCTAATTTCAACATTGTGCTTCACATACAACGCTTTCCAACTGTCAAAAGTAGCACCCTAATCCCTTGCCAAGCAGATGGGAATTCATGGTTGTTTTTTTTCTTGACAGTTAGTAAACACGAATGAAAATTTAAGCAGAAGTCGGAAGATCCTACGTTCCATGTCAAGAAGGTTGGTGAAATGATGCTTTAAAATGTGCTCTGAATCTTGGATCAGAATGTTTTGTATGTTTGGGATTTTTGTGAAGCTTATTCCTTTGGTGTAGGCTTTGGTGTATGTCCCTATCAAAGAATGGCTTTCATTTTCATACAGATGTGGGAAAGATGGCAATATTCAGGGGTCAAGTTCAGCAAGTTGTAGTTAGGAGTTAGAAAGTAAGCTAAGGCCCCATATATAATTTGTATGGCTGGTGCACCTTTAGGTATTTTGTGCATAAATGCAAAGTCCAACAGTTAGGGAGCATTAGTGAGTTAGATGCTGAATAAATCCAAGCCAAGCTTTGCTGGGGCTACCACATCTAGGCTGCAAACCACTGGACAATGAGTAGAAAGCAGCAAAAATGTACCTCTTTGCTTCCATCTAGGGGTCACCTGGATTTTTGCAGTCCAGATCTGGTAATTTAGCTTTTGGTAAAGAGTGAGAAGGAACACTTTTTTGCCAGTTCCTCCTTTTGTATGCAGCACTGTGGCTTGCCCCATGCTATACAGCAGTGGTCACCAACTGGTGGGCCGCAGCCCACTGATGGGCCTTGAGAAAATTTTGGTGGGCCGCAGAGAAATCTCACCCCCAGAGCACCTCCACAAAGCAATTAATCCAGGCTGCGCAGAAACACAAGACTCTGCTGCCCACATGGCCCGCAGGAACACTCCCCGCCCACTCACTCCTTACCTGGCAAACTTGCCTGCTAAAATTGCTATTTTTCCTTTTTCCAACCATCATCTGTTCCGCTGTGCCAGGAGATTTAGATTAGCTAGGAAGCAGGAAATGGTTAGATTTCTTGCTTTCTAGCTAGTCTCTTTGGCTCTGCCATACCTCCCTTAGGACTGAAGGTTTGCTTGCAAGCAAATTCAGTGCGGACTCACAGCAAGCAAATTTGAGAGACTGAGCTAGCCGAGGGCAGATAGATCACTGAATGATTCTGTGAGCAACTCAATCTGGCGGCTTTTCCTGATTTTGGGTAAAAATTGCTCTTTTTAAAATAAAAAGTTCAATATTTACATGCATGGTGTGTTGTGAGTTAATTTTGTGAGTTTGCTTGCAAGCAAATTTTATGTGACAGATTGAGCTAGCTGATGGCAGATAGATTTCTGAATGAATCTGTGATTCTGTGAGCAGCTCAATCTTCCTGCCTGCTTTGCCTGATTTTGGGTAAAAGTTGCTCTTTTTTAATAAAAAATTCAATATTTATATAAATATATTTACATACAAGCCAGTCACCTGACCACCAAGCCACACCCACAAATTAGGCCACGCCCACAGAACCGGTTAGTGGTCCCTGGGATCAAAAATTAGGAGTTTGGTGGCCCCTGAGGTCCAAAAGGTTGGCGACCCCTGCTATACAGGACAGCTAAAGGAATAAAAACCCTACAATGAACTCAAATATTTCTCTAGCGATAATATTCTTTAAGTAGATACTGTAGCTTGATTTTCCTCCCCCTCCCTCCCCCTGGAACAAGAATAAAATAAGAACATAGGATATGCCCTAAATTTAAGATTCCTCTCACCTCGGAATGGGAGAATCAACCGAAAATAAGCTATATAAATACAGGTAGTCCTTCATTTAGTGACCATTCAAAGTTACAACAGTACTGAAAAAAGTGACTTAGGACTATTTTTCATACTTAGGACCATATTTATGAAGGTTGCATTGTTCTTTTGTAACCTTCTGACAAGCAAAGTCAGTGGGGAAATCAGATTCACTTAAAAACTGTGTTAATAACTGGGGTGATTCACTTAACAATTGTGGCAGGACAGGTCATAAAATGGGGCAAAATTCACTTAACAAGTGTCTCATTTAGCAGCAGAAATTTGGGGCTCAATTGTGGTCGTAAGTCGAGGATTACCTGTACTATATAAAATGCTGTGTGTAATATCGAATTTCTACACCATCATGTGATTAACTGGACACATAAGGCTGGATTGTTCTTTAAAGCTCTCCAATAGGCATGGTTACAAATATTGACCAATTTCTGAGGCTAAGGCCTCATAGAAAGAAGTCTGAGCAAAGGACTCTTACTGTGGTTCCCTCATGTCCCCACGCACACCCACAGCAACAGTTTTTAGTATGCTAGGAGGATAAAAAAATCAGGGGCTTCCATTTAATAAGGTTTACTATTTATTGAAAGAACTTGCTATACAAATGGGAGCTACTAAAAACAATATTCAAGTCATTAATTATCATCAGGTTTTCAGCTCTTTCCCATTCAGCTCTTGCTAAAAACTGAAACTATTACAGCTTTATCTCTTCAGTTAGGAATAAAGTATATTTCTGACTCTATTCTTTTATACCCTACAGTGAGGCTCTATAACTTCTAGCAAGAGTATTTTGATGTTTTATAAGGAATCTTGGGAACCTTGATGTTTTAAACAAAAATAGTTAATACTCTACTTCTCCATCATTAATTTTCTCCACAGTGGCTGTAGCTCTGTGCCTATTTACCTAGGATTTTCCTTAAATCCGCAGTACATAAAGGGACCTACTTTTGAGTAAACATGCAAAGGGTTTGCTTCACCTAAAATGAAACTGGATGGTTCTGTGGTGTTCATAACTCCATAAATGGTAATGACTTGCAGTTTTAAAAAAACCCAACAAAGTTTGTGTCTCTTTCTTTCTAGGCTTATGACAAATAAATTGTTGCTTTCTGTCATCATCATCCTGGAGGTAATCATCCTGGGAGGTCTTGTCTACTACAAGTTCTTCACCTAAGCCTTGAAGAGATGCAGCTTTTCTCCTTTGCCGTTTTCAATCCACTATATGGACATTCCTTGGCAATAGCTGTTTGACACAGATATGAAAAGATAGATTGTATTTTACTACATTTAAAATATAGTGCTGGCTTGTTGTCAGTCTTGACATGTCCTTCTGAGAACAGTGCAGTGCTACTGGGAGGAAATGTGGCTGGAGAAAAGACAGACCGTGAACTACATCTGCAATATAATACGACAGTCATTTATACTGAAGATATTGATTAATTTGTGGCACAGTTTGAACTGTCCCGACTGAAAAAAAAAGATCTCCAAAGCTGAGTGAAGAATTCAGAATGTAGTACACTTGATTTTTGTTTTGTCCACTTGTTTAGTTGATCAGCAGAACTATACATAATGCCCTTTAAGTGGCATCTATGCCACTTGGGAGACCCTAAAGCCGGACTTGCTCTTCATTTTCCGATTCATCCGGCGAATTAGGTGTTGGTAGATTCTCAAAAACAATGTGTGCTCCTTCTCTCGTCTGCCCAAAGCTTGTAGCAATCACATCTACTGCCAAACCAGCTGTTGCGTTCACTTCTTCCTGTGAAGCGCCAAGGAATGGATTTACTTCTACAAGGTCCATAGCTGAAAGCAGACCTGAGAAAGTGAAGGCAGTAAGTTATTTTGTAGCAAAAGACAGAAATTTGCAGTATTAAAAAAAAACCTCTTAAACCAAATAACAGATCTGTCTCATTACATGTTGCATCATACTTCAATCCTATTTTTACCCAAAGCAACAATATTTTCCATTAGTTTTATTTCCTTTCCCTATGTTTTGATGTTGCCAGGAGCAGGTGAATGGTTAAATTTTTAAAATACTATATATGTCTTTAAAACTCCCTGACAGTTCTAAACTGAGTCAAGAAGAAGGTTGGAGAAGTGTAATATAAATACACAGATAACAAAAGGGAGTAATGATAACTGGGGGATGAACTGGGAACACTGACTTCTCTAAGTTATGTTTCCATATAGTTTAAGTTGTGTTTCCATATAGCTTATGCTAAAATTTGGTAGCATAGCTTGTAATTAGGAAAACTAAATAAGGTGCCCACTGAAAACTGGAAAAACATGGCTATTGTCTTCAGTCCAGGATGACTCATGAATTGTTGAAAGAGGGGGAGAATAAAAGAATCCAAGATTTATTTTGTTAACATTTTGATTTAAAACACTTCTGAATATTTTTGTAGTACAGATATCCTTGCAAGCATATAATTACAATTTTTGTGATTCTCGTTACCTTAACCCAAATTTTTAAAAAAGGATGCTTAAGTGGTTTTTACCTGTGTTGTGTATTTCTTCAGAAATGTACATGCCTTCACGATACGTTAATCCACCTAAGACACGTGTCCCTGTTGCTGGAGCCAGGGATGGATCAAAGGCATCAATGTCGAAGCTCAGATGGATTGGCCTTGGCCCTCTGACAAAAGATAACGCTTTTGTTTACTAAATATAGTTCACCTGCAATAGGTCACTTATCCTTGTCATCAGTAGGTATGGCTAATGGTTGCTAGTGACCGGTTTTCTGGCTTATTTAATTACCTAACAATATTCTTCAAAACATGTTACCTTCCCAAAAGATGATCGAGTGTTTTTTCCATCACTTTCTGGATTCCAAGATCATCAATATGTCTCATTGAAAAGTATTGGATGCCATAATTCTTCAGAATATAACTGTTTTGAGAAAACAGGTTAAATTTAAATACTCTTACACTCGCTCTAGTGAATTGGGAGGAAAGGAATAATAACATTCATTTAAACTAGCTATCGTGCACTTACTGTTCAGCAGGATCAACATCTCTCAGACCAATATATACAATATCTGATGGTGAAAGACAGGGCTTCAGCCAGGAAAATCCAGGAAGCAATGGCACCTTCAAAATAACAGAAAAAACATGATCCTGGAAAGACTAGTCTAGGAAATACTATTTGAGTGCCATGATTTTAGTATAGACTCGCCCCCCCTGCCCCCAATATCCTGTTATAGAAATCTTGTTTTAGTTGATAATGCTGCAGTCATGTAACAGTTTTTCTCCCACAAGAATAACTTGTAATAGATTAAAGATACTATATTTTTTCCTTTTTTCCTCCCACCTAGGCCAAATGGATGTCAACATTCTCGATCAGAGAAGGTAATTAGGTCTCATTCACTTTCTTGTATAAAATTTGCTGGAATCTAGAACACAAGCTTTTGAAAACATTCTAATATTGAAATACATACAGGTAGTCCTCCACTTACGACCACAATTGGGCCCCAAATTTCTGTTGCTCAGCGAGACAAGTGAAGTTTGCCCCATTTTACAACCTTTCTTGACACAGTTAAGTGAATCACTGCAGTTAAGTTAATAGCATGGTGGTTTCCTCATTGACTTTGCTTGTCAGAAGGGTGCAAAAGGTGGTCACTGCAACCGTCAGTTATCAAGCACCTGAATTTTGATCATGTGATTATAGAGGTGCTGCAATGGTCGCATGAAAAATGGTCCTAAGTCCCTTTTTTTCAGTGTCGTCGTAACGTCAAGCTAAATGAAGTGTTGTAAGTTGAGGACTACCTGTATTATGAACTGCGCTGATGGCCACTCCACAGGGAGGTGAAAAAAGGAATGTGGATGTGGAAAGCAATATTGCACTGCAAAGTATGCCTCTATTCTACACCTGTCACAATTATAATTTTATTGTCTTGATGAAAACATCAGATCCTGCTATGCCCTTTACATATTCACATTACTGAGTGTGTGTTGTTTGATAAATCTCTATTGAATCAGAATCCATTGCCAAACTGACCAGGGTTAATGAGAGTTGTTTTGTTTTTTTAAAAAAAAGATGAACCCAAATTACTTTTATCCCTGCCCTAGGAGCAATTAAGATTTAGCTGTTGTAACACTTTCCAAGTGTTAGATGTAATAAAGAGTATTTAGCTACAGTGTTTATTTTAATTTGCTTAATTTGGGTAAGAATGATAACCATGTTGAGCTGCTGAAAGCTAGAAGTAAATCTAGCTAACAAAGTCTCCCCATATCTTGAGTCAATAGTACTTTTCAAGTGGGTATGATCAAACAAGTTCTTTTTAAATTACCAGGGTGGGGGGGGGGCTATTGTATAGAAAACACATCCATGCATGATAATTCTTTTGGAAGGAAAACTGCAGGAATACCAGCAAGTACAGCCATCCACTTTCATCTACAGTTCATTAAATAACAGATTATTCCTAACAAGGAAAAAATACAGGTAATCCTTATTTAGCAACTACAATTGGATCTGTTAAGCCAAGTGGTCACTAAGTAAAAATGTGACCGTGTTTATAATCTTTCTTACTTCAGTTTATCTTTCTTTACTTGTATAGTCCTGCAAAGGTCATAAATGTGAGGAATGGTTGCAAAATTGCCATCATCACTGTAACTGCAAACGGTTGCTAAATGAGGCAGTTACTAAATGAGGACTATGTTAAGTGCGTGTGTGCTAATCTTCTGAAAGGATTGTATGGTAGAATTGCCATATAGTAAACCAATAGCCACCCAATCTCAAATCATGTTGACTAACTCAATATAGAAGTGCTGGCATCTTTATGAATTATGCATCCAAAGAACACCATTCTTGGATGTTCAGGATGTATGTCTCTACAAGTTTATTAACTAGCAGAAATATTCCATCTCTCTGATATCTAAAGTTTACTTCCAATAAAAAAACATACCGATAACTCAATAAGTGCTATTCCTTGTTGACATCACCATGCAATCTCACCTTATCCTGAAGTTCTCTTAAAAGAAATGAAACTGGCTGCCCATGGAGATTTCTTGATTGGCTTGTGAGTGGAGTGTTAATATCAGCATGAGCATCAACCCAGATCACACAGAGATGTGGGTACTGCCTTGCGTGTCCACTGATGGAACCAAGTGCTAAACTGTAAGGGAAAAACAGTTCAAATTTATATCAGACTTGTCTAAATTGGGGAAAGTAGAATTAAGGTATCTAATAAATGTGAGCTTAGAGAATTACTTTGGAAGTCAAAGGTATACGACAACTGCACTTAAATTCATATCAATGCATATCATGGATATGATCCTGCCCTCAATGCCTTGCCAGTGAGGGGTTAAAGGGACAAATGTGAAATCAATATATAACTTTACGTTCTCACATTATCTACTCAGTCTAATCAGCACCATTTAGATAGCCAAGATACCACTTAGACTTATATCACTTCACATTTCACAGTGCTTTACAGCCTTCTCTAATCTGTTTACAGTGTCAACACATTGTCAGCACATTGTCCCCAACAATCTGGGTCCTCACTGATGGTAAAATGCTATGTACATACCTTAAAGTCAATAGCCCAAAGTGTCCACAATATGTATCCAATGGAAAATCTGCACTGAAACCAGTAATCTGTTTTTTTGTAAGGATCAACCAGATCCTCATGCTAACCATAGACAACCATAGCCATCTTCCACTGCTCTCCAGCAGCTGGAGTTTAGAGGCATTCTGGTGATATAGGTTTCCTCAAATAATGCAGGATTAGATTGAAATAGGAAGGTTTTTTTCTCAACTCACTGAGAATATAGTAATGGAAGCAGATGTGTGTTCCTGTCTAATTGCAAAAGAGGTTTTTTTTAAATTCAGGACTACTTTTTGTTTAGTACAATAGTAGTACATCCATTACCTACCTACCATTACTGTATGTCCTACAGTATAACTTTAAATGGATACAACATCATCTAGCCCCCCCACCCAAATCATTCTCAGATTTAGTGTTGCCAGGCCCATCATTTGTGGAATTTCATCAAGTGCTATAAGCAAAATATTTTTAGAACTCAACACCTCTTTTTATGCTGTTCATGTTGGTTACTTTCAAGCAAGCAAAGAAACATGTATTTTGATGGTCTTTATATAAAAGTCATATGAGAGTTTCACTTTTCCTCTCACCTATGATCACCTCCAATGGTTATGCAGCTATGTCCAGCTGTCACAGCTCCATTCACAGCGTCAGCCAGAAGTTGGCTAGCTAATCCTACAGAGCGTGGGTACTTGACCAGGTTATTGTACAGTTCATCATTGGGCACCGGGGTGAAACTTAAGTCTCCAAAATCATATACCTGACAACCTAGGAACAAGCAGAATGGGAGAAGAAAGCAAAGTGATATAGATTAGCTTTGTTTGATGACAGAATATGATGGAATTTAGAATTGTTACTGTTTTCCTATGAATAATTCCTAAAGAGTCCTGATAAGTGAATCTTATGGAACAAAAGTAGAAAATTTTGGGGGCAAAGAAAGTGCTTGAAATTATGAAAATGGTTGCTGTGATAGGTATTGCCAATCATGGAACTTTATTTGCCAGAATATAGGTGCATTATACCCTTCCACTTCTCTGAATATGTTTAGCCAAAGTTGTTTT